CATGGCTACAAACCTAGCACCCAAGATGCTGAGGCAGGTGAGTTTTCACGAGATTGATCTTACCCTCAATAGTGAGTTGCAGGTCAGCCTAGGCTACAGGGTGAGACTATGCTAAATAACATAATAGTAACAGAAAAGGAAAACAAACAAAAAACACTAAGAGAGAGGGGGGCTTTTGTTAAGCAACTTTAACAAAAATTCTTGCTAGAAGCAGGCCAGGGTGGTCAGCTGTCCTCTAGAGGAGGTGGCAGCTAAGAGTTGTAATCAGAAGCAGTGGCTGAAGAGGTAGTGAAGGCAGGGATACTGGCTAAACTGGGGGCGCACATGTGCAGGACTTAAAAGAATAGTTTGATCAATGCAAGCCTTCATAACTGCGTAAACACAGGGCACTAAGATACTTTCTCATTTGTGACTTTCAAAAAGTCCCAGGTATCACAATATGTAATTATTTGTCTTTCTTCTTATAGACGCAGTTTCTGTCTTAAACTTGACCCCAGCCTCACTTCTAGCATTTTTCCAGCTCGCTGGTCAGTGTGATTCTTAGGAAATTTCCCCATTTTTTTCTGCTCCTCAATGTTTTATTAATGTAGTAAGTGTCTCTACTAAAATTTTATTCTGTCTTTTGGAATATGCAATTACTTTTTATGGGAGATTTCTTGAGACTATGTAAATATTCCAATTTTCAATCATCTTTGCAGACCAATTTTAACATACACTAAAAATGCTTAATGGAAACATATCTAGTGTTACTTAGCAAATGGTGAGGCTCTGTTTCCATAACATTCCAATTAAGTGGAATTCTATAGTGAGGAAGAACTTGCTTCTATGCCACCTGTTTGCCTACAAAACCCATTCTCCTCTGCCTTTTGCTTTCTGAGTGGATTGATAGGTGTTTCATTTTTCCAGCTGCCCGGACCCAAATAATCACACAGAAACTATATTAATTACAACACTGTTTGGCCGATAGCTCAGACATATTTCTAGCTAGCTCTTACATCTTAAATTAACCTATTTCTATTACTTTATATTTTACCATAAGGCTTGTGGTTTGTTATCTTACGTCTTGTTTCTTGGGCATCTACATGGCGTTTCCCTGACTCTGCCTTCCATCCTCCTCCATTTCTGCTTGGATTTCTCATCTTACTGTATTCTTCCCTGCCATAGGCCAAAAGTTAGCTTCTGTATTAACCAATGGTAATCACACATATTCATAGCATACAGCGGGGCATCCCACATGAAATAGTTGTCTGTGGTTTATTTGCTTTTCCAAGTTTTTGTTGTTGAGATTATCCCAGATTCAGTAATTGGGAGCATCTCCTGCTACCTTCTCTTGCCTGTCAACACTGTTGAGTGCCTCTTCACGACTCTTCAGACTGTTCTTGTTCTCATTCACCACAGAGCCAGCAGCTTCCTGAGGAGATTCAACTCTCTTCTTTAGAGAACGGTGTTTGGAGACCATGATCAGGACAAAAAATGGTGCTCACTGTTCCTGCACTGTCTTTTATGGGGAAAGAAACTGGGAGTTATGTGCACCCCTGTGCACAGGAACACATCCATCCATGTCCTCTTCTCTGTGTGTTTTTGTGTTAGTGTAAACCTACCCAGTGGATCCTGAAGGACGTCTAACCTGTCTAAACAGAACGGATCCACTCTGACATCTCACCTGTCTATACAGAGCAGATTTTATGACATTTCAGCCTCAAGCAATGCAAGGGCCCTCCCTAGACTTCCTTTCTTACATGTAACTTTTTCTGCAATGTATTTTTTTTTTTTTTATCATTTCTATTTAGAACACACAGGAGTGTAGCTTCAGGACTGTTAACCCATGCCTCTGGGGAAACACGTTTAATAACCACAGTACCAGTATCATAGTTTTGTCCCTCGGGTAGAGTACCGGATCAGAATACTATTTTCCAAAATGATTGTTTATGGCTTCCTTCAGTTTGCTCTCTGACTTGTCACACACGTTGGCTCAGTGCTGTCCTTACAAACCCATTGCGGAGTCTTTCCACATTCTAATTGTTCTAATTGCCGTGGGTGAAAGTACCATGGTATGTTGGGAGTCGGAGTTACATGAATGTGTTCCTCAGATTAAAGCATCATCTATACTCTTCCACTTCATGGCTAACTTCTGTGGCGGAGGATTATCCATGAATGGAGTTGGTCAAATATTCCCTCTTGTGTGACAGTTTAGGTGATTCCATCCACTCCTCGTCCTGTGGGTTTGCCTGGGTTACCTAAATCAATGCTGCCCTCTTCTGTTACAGTAGCAAAACCCAGTGGCTTTAAATGTGTGGTGTTAGGTGAACGTAGAAGAAGGACATTGGCATTTCCCCATTGGTTAGTTCCCATTGTACTTCTAGATCCTGGCTCTTTTGATTCAGCTTCTAGTTCCCTGCATCACTCAGCACCAAAGATTTCCTGGCCCTCTGTGTGTGCACTTCTCTCCCAGAGGAAGGTAGCCAGTCAAGGCAAGCGCGGCTTTGCTCCTCTCCCACAAGGCGATGCTCTCAGACATGTCGCGTATCTCAATTTTCACATGGAAGGTTTTTTTTTTTCCTGGCTGTTGACTTTGGATCCACCTTAACCCTTCAGCTTTCTCTTTCCTCTGCCTGTGTATTTTCAGCTTGGCCTTAGTTGCTGCCAAAGCTTATGAGAGGATAGGGGCATGCGAACTTTTTATTTATTTATTTATTTATTTATTTATTTATTTATTTATTTATTTAAGATTTCTGTCTCTTCCCCACCGCCGCCTCCCCTTTCCCTCCCCCTCCCCCAATCAAGTCCCCCTCCCTCGTCAGCCCAAAAAGCAATCAGGGTTCTCTGCCCGGTGGGAAGTCCAAGGACCACCCACCTCCATCCAGGTCTAGTAAGGTGAGCATCCACGAAACTGCCTAGGCTCCCACGAAACCAATAGGTCCAGTAGAATCAAAAACCCATTGCCATTGTTCTTGAGGTCTCAGTAGTCCTCCTTGT